ATACGATGGTTGAAGGAGATAACAAAGGTAGTGGTTTTCGAGGATGCAACGAAAAATATTGCAAGAAAGTTGAAATAAAACTTTATTTGTGCTTATAAGAATAACGGGTCGAGAGACAAAGTATTTGATCCTCCTTCTCGAACACCATTAGGTTTGAGGCTTCAAACGTCCTAGCCTACATAGCCAGAGAAAGAACTATAGCTAGTTTTTTTATCGAACAGAGATACAATGTCTGCTATCCTCGGAAGAAACGCGGTTTGGACGTATTGGATTCGTGAAAACATAATCATGTGATGCTCGCCCAATGGGTTATTAAGGTCATCTCAATTGAGGAGTAGGACCACCGGGTGTTCATGGAAAAACTGATTTTCATCGAGGAATGACAATTGCCCAGTACCTAGAGACGTTTGGTTATGTTATATGCTATACTTATTTTTGCAGAGACGGATAAAATCCACCTTTTGACAGAATGTTCTCAATGTCATGGAAAAATGTCACTAAATCAGAAACCCCTGATTAGCCTTTGTTCGATAACTCAATGATTCTAAAGTTAAATGACTTCCCTCTTTCTATTGATTTTAATGTTGATTATTTTGAAAGGGTGTAGGCTTTGTGCTTTCTATTGATTTTAATAACCACAAAGAATACACAGGCTTAACTATTGGTTGCAATCCCTGTTGACCGACACAGTTTGCTACAGTCGATATGCACTGGCCTGATAGGTACATAGTACAGGGAGGACTCTATGTTGGAGGCAAATAATATTTGCCCACTCATTTGATCCAGAGAAATTGTCATTTCGTGAAAATGGACATTCTTGATTTTTTGAACGAAATTGAAACTGAGTTTTTTCAACTTTTTTGGTTGAAAACTCGTCTAAATTTTGTTGTTCCTAAGGGTCCGGCGTTTTTAAAATGCCCTGTGTGTATCTGGACCTAGCTTGAGACCAAATACATCTAGGCAGTCCCCCTTGGATGTATCAGGTTAAAGTTTTGTCCTGATACATCTAGGGGGTCCGGCGTTTTAAAAACACTAGACCCTCGGAAGTAGCAAAATTTAGACGATTTTTTGGCCAAAAAAGTTGAAAAAACTTAGTTTCAATTTCGTTAAAAAAAATAAAAAATGTCCATTTTGACGAAATGGTAGTTATAGGCATATGTTTTTTCAGGAGTGGAAATTAACTAGGACCAACGCTATTATTCAGACGGATTATGAGGAAGAAAATTTAGTCCAATGAGTATGATGACACAAATACGAGTTAGGGAAACATGCAATGACAATAGAAACTAGGCATGCATCTTATGGGTTAACTGTAAGTCTATCAGAGAGTTGAAATTGAACCCGATATGTAGAGATGGTATAATCCAGAGTGTTGGTTATCTAAGGCCTATATTCAACTTCAATTGTTTATTCTTTTAATAGCAGTAGCAACAAAGCGTTAGGTGCAGATGACGGGGAAAAAACTGCAGAAGTATCTAGGTTGGAGGAGGTTTTATGGATTAACATACAATCGATTCCTTCAGGGAGGCTAGCGGCCCCTCTGTGGATGTTCACGATGATGGTTACTCCCTCTTCAATTTGGTTGAGACATAGAGGAATGAAAATTGATATCAAGTGCAGAAGATGCAAATGACCCTTCGAGTCTGTATGTCATTTGTGGCTCTCTTACTCGGGTGTCAAAAAATATTTGGCTGGGGTGAAAATTTAACTAAGAAAAAAAAATGCAAAAACAATTTTGTGTTTGACGATGGTTGGGTTTTGTTTGAAGTGGTTCCCACTTAGACCCACGTCAGTAAGGAGTGAGGGTATGTGGGTTTTTCCATCTGAGCCATATTTGTTTTGGTTATTTGATAGGAACGGAACTTACTAGTGTTTAAGAGCGAATTCTTATGTAAACTGGCCATATAAGCTAAGATCAAACACAATATTGTGTTGGGTCCTATTGGTCATTAGGAGTGACTGGAATAGGAAGGTCTCGCGAGCCAACAACGTGGTAAGTGACCTGCGCTGGTTCGACAAGATGTGGGTTGCGAAGATCAAAATGTCGAAATTTGTGGTGTCGAAATAGTTGCTCACCACCTAGGTTAGACTTGAACGCCAATTTTTTTTTCGCATGGGGAAGGCTATTATTGACAGGTACGTGGGGATGGAGGGAGCGTTATGGTATATTCATGTCGTATAAGGGTCCGTAACCTTGTTTTAGAGATTTTCTTATTCTCAATGGATACCTTCATTAGTGTCGTACAACCTTTTGTTTGACATTTCTGAATAAGAAAGTGTATTGGTAGGAGGCGGTTGTACAATATTTAGGTTATAGTTAGTAGTATGAATGTAGCATGTAGTTGTAGTCTCATCTGTTTCGTTTAGAGAATAGTTTAGGAAGAATTTTGTGAGCTGCAGAAGTTTAGAGATAGAGACTTGCAAACTTTGAGCATGTCAACTAAGCTCAATGATGTTTCCAGTATGTGTGTTTCTCGGGGGTAATGTACAGGTTCCCAAACTAAAATTTGCTTAAGCCACCATTACGTTTCTCAGTGCTGGGAAAAATGAGAAAATACTAAAATAGGATATACCGCAAACTTCAGGTCCCGTGAAGGCTCGACATGAAAGCAAAAAATAAAATAAAATAATAGAACATTGGAGGTCTGCGTTGAAAAAACAAAAAAACAAAAAAAAGTAAACACTTCAAATCCAGTGACGTCGTGGAAGACCCTCACAGAGGTGGAAGTGACACAAGTGCTTTGAGGAATGTATCTGGCTAGTATATGTGGAACGTGATTGCTTCTGTTTTTGTTGTTTCTTTTATTCTATTGGCTTGCTTTTGGTACCCTGCTAGAGCAACAGGGCGGATTCCACGCAGGGCAACGAAATGCCTCACTCACCTCTTACTCACACTTGTGTTGTAGGGTCCTGTATCGGACTGCAATCACAACATAAGGAATGTTTTTTTTTTTTTTTCCCTTCACTACTTCTCGATCGGACAGACACCCTCACTGAGGGCACAGTCCCAGTAACGCCTCATAGGATGTATCTGACCACCATGTTGGGAATGTGATTGCTTTCCTCCCCGGCCCCCAATTTCTTGTCCTTATGACGCCCTACCAGTAAGGCAGGGTGGATTCCACGTGGGGCAATAAACTGCCTCATATTGTGCCTTCCTTTATCCAACAACAATCGCAACATAAGTTTTTTTTCTTCAATTCCTCTTAGTCGGACAGACGCCCTCACTGAGGGCACAATCTCACTAGCACCTCATAAAAATACATCTAATGGCTATGGCGGCGTTAGGGAAGTTTTTTTTTCTTCCTTTTTTTTTTTTTTTTTTTCTTTTTCGCATGTAACTATATGAGTACCAAGAAATAAAATACAATGGGACAGACTCGGCAAAACTCGGTGCGCAGTAAAATCCAGGGTCGTCAAAAACAGGATCGGGAAAGTGGTGGTTTAAACCACCACCACCCCCGTCGTTCTAAAGTCGGGGGAACTAGTAGCACATGTTGAAGAGGGTTACCGGTAGCACAGGGGAGAACAAGGGGAGTTACAATAATGAAAAATGCATTGCATTGTCGAATTGTCAGACAAAACCTAGCTCACTTGGTTAGGCCAGCAAGTGGCATCCATGCGGTTCAGTCCCCACTGACCGCAGGGGCAATCTTGGTGCCAACCGATTGAGATAGTTGGCTTGCTTCCCTCGTTTGGTATTGGTAGAAACTTTGGCCTTCATGTGTGTGTGTGGGGGGGGGGGGGAAGGGGGTTGTGTGCGTTTTGTGGGGGAGTGTTGGCCATAGACACTGTCGTTACTTGATGTGGATGAATGGATGGATGGATGGATGGATTGAATGGTTGTTTGGTTGGATTGATTGATTGAGTGAGCGAGCGAGTGCGCGCGTGCGAGAGAGAGAGAGAGAGAGAGAGAGAGAGAGAGAGAGAGAGAGAGAGAGAGAGAGAGAGAGAGAGGGCGCCAGACACTGCACCAAACTCGGCGTCAGACACTGGCTGACGCCCTCTCTCTCTCTCTCTCTCTCTCTCTCTCTCTTTGACGCCGAGTTTGGTGCACTAAACTCGGAATCAGACACTGGCTGACGCCTTCTCTCTCTCTCTCCCTCCCTCTCTCTCTCTCTCTCTCTCTCTCTCTCTCTCTCTCTCTCTCTCTGTCCCTCTCTCTCTCTTACGAGAATGAATCTTCCTCTTTATCGAGGAAGATTCATTCTCGTTTAAAGAGGAAGATTCATTCTCGTTGGGCATGTCTCTTTTTTTTTTTTTTTTTTTTTTTTCTCTCTCTCT